GTTGGATATTTTAGGGTAGCACAAAGTTGGGTTGGTTTGAGGTTTTTTTAGGATGGAGGAAGGATGATGGAATCTTGAGACAACAGTTTTCTGCTTGTTGCCTGGCTGGGAGTGCTGTTTGTGTGATGATACTTGAATGGTTTTGATAGCTATATTGTATATTTATATATTTTTGTATATTATCTATATTTAGATATAATTTGGGGTAGAAGAATTGGGATAGTTGTGGTGTTATGGGTGATGAATGGAAGTGCCTGGGTTGCTGGCAGCTGGATTTGGGGTATTACCCACCTCCATCCTTCCTCCTGCTGGGGCTCATTTTTTGGGACTCTGCCTCCTTGCAGGGCTCTGATCCAGGAGAGGATCCAGCCCGGAATGCTGCTGCTGTGTTAACAATAATTGGGTGAAATTCCCAGTTAAAAGGGAATGTGAACACCTGTGCTGGGGTCAGGGTGTGGAGCGATCCCAGGCTGCTGGCACCCCTCGTGCTCCCGTTCCTGCCACCCCTCTCCTTCCCTCCATTCCTCTGGAGCGGCGCATGGTCTATTTTTAAATCTTGCTGGGCTCTGTATTGCGGCATTTCTCTTCCTGAATTATTTATCAGGGATTGGAGCTGAATGGAGCGTGCTACGTTTTCCCTGCTTGCTGCTGCCCACGTGTCTGTCTTGAGCCATTGACAGATTTGGTTCATGTCAAACCACGCCAGGCCCGGCTCAGAGAGGGGCAGGAGGGGTCGAGGGGTCACAGGCCAGGCCTGGACCCTCTGCATCTGTGGGTGTTTGGTGCTGGGGCAGACAGGGTGGCCATGATAATGAATCCACAGCTGAGCCAGGTTTGAAAGGAAAGGCCCTTTTTAAAATAGAGAATGGAATTAAAATTCTTTGGACTGCATGCAGAACGGCTGCAGCCATTCACCTTGGCGCACGTGCCGAGGAAAACACTGAATGGGAGCGTGGGCATGGAGGACTCGGGAAGGTCCTTGAGTCTCTGTGTGGTTCTGTGGTGTCTGAGTGTTCCGTGTCCTCGCTGATCCCTGCACTCCTCTGCTGGCGGGTACCTGGCAGCACCTGACGTTGAGTCACACCAGGCAGCCTCTCCATCTCCAGCTCCTCCCTGCAGTCCGCGTGTTCCTCGTGTCCTTGGGAGCAGATGCTGTCTGGAGCGTGGCTCTACCTGTGCATCCCAGTAATTAATGCTGGGAATGGCAGCTGCTGGATCCTGAGCAAGGTCAGGTCCAGCCTAAAGAATATCTCAGATCCAGCTCCTTGAGGATTTTCCTCTCCCTTGTCCCTGTGGTGCTGTGGGGGCTGAGGCTGAGACCTGAGGCTGTCCCAGATTTGGGGCTTTCTCCCTTTCCAAGGGGACAGGGAGTTCTCTGTGTGGATACATAGATGCATGGAATTCCCTTGGCAAAGCTCTTCTCCCTTTCCAGCCACTGTCTGTCTCTGGGAGATCCCAGTCCTGGCTGCTAGTGGGGACTTGCACCAGTGCCACCCCACTGGTTTAGTGTCGCAAGTCCTGACTTTTCCCTCTTCTGATGGAATTTATCCACTTCCTAATTGCCACGTCTCCTCTCCATGGGAGCTGGGCTGGCAGGCAGAGACTGGGCTCATCATCCACACGTGTCTGCCAGGGAAGGAGGGAATGTCTTCTTGCTTTTCCCTTTGTTTCCTCCTTGCTGTGGCTGTTGGGCACTGGCAGCCTCCCTGCCAGCCAGGAGCACCAGCAATACCTGGAACTGCTGCATCTTTCCCGTCCTCGCTTTCCCTGACCCAGTTTCACTGTGTGGCTGCAATTCCAGAGCTGAGGGCTCTCAATTTGAGAGGCAGGAACTGCTCCGTGGGGTTTTGTCCAGGCTGCTGGGGCTGATTCATTCTCCATCCTCTTCCTCATCCTCCTTCCACCCAGGATTTGCTGCCTCCCATGTAGGAGAGAGATGCAGCTCAGGAAATCCTCTCGCACACACTGTGCTCCGTGAGGATGTAACACTGCTGGGTTGCAGTGATGGACAGGGATTTTGGGAAGAGCTGGATGAGCCTGCAGGAGGCTGCACCTGTGCTGTCTGGGGCAGGTGCTCATGTCCTGGGGCTGGAGGCTTTCACATTCCAAAATCTGCTGATCCACCTGCCCATATGCCAGAGATCAGGTCTGCAGACTCTCACAGAGCTGCTTTTCTTCCTCCTTTAACTGCAAACACTGAGGCCTCGACAGAGGGTCTGAAGCTGATGGGATGTTCTTTGAAAATAGGGAGATCTGGAAGAAGGGGAGCAGCATTCCCAGTTTTCTCCTTGTACAGCCGCTGCAGGGCTCCAGCACCCATCCTTAGTGATCCTGAGGCTGCCTCTGACCACAGGATGCTCCTTAGCAAAATAAAGCTGTGGTCTCACTGGTTTTGTGGGAATTTGAAGGCTCTGTTTGGAGCAGTGATCCTTGCCCTGGGAATGCTTCCTCTGCCTCTTTCTGTCACTTCTTGGAAAATGTCTCCTGGAGCTGCTTCAGAGCTCAGAACTGCAGGTTTCACACTCCAGGGGCCTATTCCTGGGTGCCAGGAGTAACCAACCCCCAAATGGATTAAAAAATGGATTCAGAAGGGGGTAAAAGCTGGGACTGAGCTGTTGGGCTGATGCCTGGATCCTGCTGGTGGGGCTGCCACAGGGAGTCACTCTGAGCACGCGCTGCCGGCCACGGCTCCAGCCCGGCTCCCGCTGAGCAACCCCGGGGCTGCTGCAGCCGCAGTCGCTGCCTCTGGAGCTCCTGTGCAGCGGCAGAACCTGAGCTCAGCTGCAGCTCCTCATCCTCCTTAGACTGAGCTCAGCTGCAGCTCCTCATCCTCCTTAGACTGAGCTCAGCTGCGGCTCCTCATCCTCCTTAGACTGAGCTCAGCTGAGGCCCCTCATCCTCCTTAGACTGAGCTCAGCTGAGGCCCCTCATCCTCCTTAGACTGAGCTCAGCTGAGACTGCTCATCCTTCTCCCTCTGAGCTCAGCTGAGGCCCCTCATCCTCCTTAGACTGAGCTCAGCTGCAGCTCCTCATCCTCCTTAGACTGAGCTCATCTGCGGCTCCTCATCCTCCTTAGACTGAGCTCAGCTGCAGCCCCTCATCCTCCTTAGACTGAGCTCAGCTGCAGCCCCTCATCCTCCTTAGACTGAGCTCAGCTGCAGCCCCTCATCCTCCTTAGACTGAGCTCAGCTGCAGCCCCTCATCCTCCTTAGCCTGAGCTCAGCTGCAGCTCCTCATCCTCCTTAGACTGAGCTCATCTGTGGCTCCTCATCCTCCTTAGACTGAGCTCAGTTGAGGCCCCTCATCCTCCTTAGACTGAGCTCAGCTGAGGCCACTCACCCTCCTTAGACTCAGCTCAGCTGAGGCCCCTCACCCTCCTTAGACTCAGCTGAAGCCCCTTGTCCTCCTCACCCTGCTCAGACAGTGGTGCTCGTTTCTCAAAGAGCCTGTGAGGTCATGGTTTGGTTTTCTTGTCCAGGTACCTTCATTGTAAAAGTTCTTTGCAGAATTGAGAGGAAAAAAACTTGAAGTGGCAGACATAAAAAGAACTTGGATCCTTTGGATCTGACTTCCTTGCATTTTCTGATGGGAAAATCTTGTGCAACATCCCTGGAGCCTTTGCATTCCAAGGCGTGGATTGATCAAGACCTTTGACAACGCTGCAATAGCATTGCAGGTGACTTTTGTCTTCTTATCCTTCAAAATTCCTTTTTCTCCCATTTTCCATCCATGGGATGTGGAGAGGAGACTTCAATTGCCAGGTCTGGGGTGGAAAATCCCTTTCTGGGGAAAATTTAAACAAGTGAAAGGTTTCAAACTTCTCTGGGGCTGCTTGCATTTTTTGTTTTCTGTCTCTCCATATTTAATCATCAATAAATGAGCAAGAAAAATAAATAACTGAATTGAAATGAAGCCATTAACAAAGCAACCCCTCAGAAAAGCTCTGGCAGCAGTGACAGGAGCGGAGCAAGGCTGGCTGTGACCTACCTGGACAGGTTTGAGGTGTTTTGCTGGGTGTTTTCCATGCATGTGAATCCTTCTGGAGGCTGCTGATGCCTTGGGTGGTATTTGCTATCCCTTTTTTTATGCAGTCATGGGATATTCTGAGTTGGAAGGGATCCTGAAGGATCATTGATCCCAGCTCGTGGCTCTGTACAGACACCCCTGTGCATCCCTGGCAGCGCTGTCCAAAAGCTCTTGGAGCTGTGGCAGCCTCAGGGCCAGGACCATTCCCTGGGGAGTCTGGGCAGTTCCAGCACCGTCTGGGGGAAGAGCCTTTCCATGATCTCCGGCCTGACACAGCTCCAGCCATTCCCTGGGGTCCTGCCCTGATCACAGAGAGCAGAAATTGAAGCTGCAGCCCCTGAGGAATCTCCCCTCAGTCTCCCCCAGCTGAACAAGCCGAGTGCCCTCAGCTGCTCCTTGTGCAACTCCTCCAGACCTTTCCCCATTCCTGTGTCCCTCCTTTGAAGGCTCTCCATTATCTTCAGACCTTTTTCACATTGTGGTGCTCAAACTGCCCCCAGGACTGGAGGTGAGGCTGCCCCAGCCCAGAGCAGAATGAGACAATCCCCTCCCTCACTGTCCAGTGATGCTGGACCTGCTGCCCCCAGGACCTGCTGCCCCTCCTGGCTGCAGGACACGCTGCTGGCTCAAATCCATCTCCCCATCCATGAGAACCCCCAGGTCCCTTCCCGTGTGGCTCCGGGGCTGGCAGGGGACGGATGCTGCGTCTTTAGCGGCGTCTCGGGCTGCGCGGAGGCAGCTCCATTGAAGATTTGCAGGAGAGCAGGAGGGGGGTGTGGATGTGGCTATTGGCAGAGCTGTGCTGACATCCCTGGGAACAGCTGGGATCTGCTCCGCTGCCGAGCCGCTTGTCAGAGCCCCGAGCTCACCGGAGCAGCCGCAAAGATCGCGAGCGGTTTTTATTTTTTATTCGGGAGAGCTGGCGGGGGCTTCCCAGGAGCAAGATTATCCTGGCAGAATTCCTCTTGAACTGGTCACGGCCATGGAGTCTCCGCTGAAATCGGGAAACAGCTGACGTGCTCAGAGTGCAGAACCACCACGGTGAGTTTATTTTTAGAATGAGGTTTTAATTATTTGGGGCTCGAGAAAAGAAAGATTGATCAGACTTTTCCCTTCCCTGGTGCAAAATGCGGCGTAAATGTGGGTGAATATTTCAAGGATGGGGACCTGGCAGTGTCCCTCTCCTGTTGGTAAGCGCCAGGATTTTTGCTGCTGGATGGGGTTAATTTAAAATGGAGCTGAATTAAATGAATATGTGGCTCTGGGATCCCAGTCAGGACTTGGGAGCGTGAGATGAGCTCTCCTCTTCCTCCCTTTGTGCTGCCGGGGATGCACCTACAGAGAGAGAGGGAATCCCCGGTCGGCATCCTGTGCTCTGCCATGTCATTAAGGAGTTCCCCTGACAGCATCATGGAATCTCCTTGTGCTCCAAGCGTCTGCAGTTTGCTCCTGGGTACTTCCCGTTCTTTTGCAAAGGCAGAACCTTCCCAGCTCTTCTCTTGGGTTATATTTTAATGGATTTACTTGTTTGGAGCTGGCTAGTTGATGGGGAATGTTGGCTACTCAGTTGGCTCTGTGCCATGTGACGTTTTCGGGGTGGCTTATGCAATTTGGTGTTCAGTAGGACAGTGCTTGATACATTAACCCCATTTTTAAATTAATTTAAATTTAAAAAAAATTAAATTTAAATTTTATATTAATTTAAACCCCTCGCTAAATTTGGTTTAGTGGAGTCAGGAGGTTGGATTGACTTTTTCCCCTCCTCACACGTATCCATCGTCCAGTTTTACCTAACACCCAAGAAGTTGTGTTCTCTTCATTACAGATTTAGTGCTGGGAGCTGGGGTTTTTTGGGATTGAGGTGTGGTTGTTATACTTTGGGATCTCAGCATCTCTCTGTCTGCTCCTCAGACTCCACACTCAATTCCAACTTCTGCTGGCTGCCAAGAAATAAAGTTGAGTTTTTTCTTCGAATCATTATTTCTCCTTTTTTTTTTTCCTAAGTTAAAATCCATTTCTGGGTCCCACCTGGAGAACACCCAATGTGATGAGTGGCTCTGTGTCCTCTGCCAGCGTGGGGAAAAGCAGGAGCAGCAGCTGGACAGCAGGAGGAGGGATACAGAAAACATTCCTGCCTTTTGCCTTTCTCCTGTGGAGGTTTTCTGGGAGCTGGGGTGCTTTGGGGCCGATAAACAAAGTTTGGGGATGTGCTTTACCAGCCAGGTCAGCTGAGGGAATTCCTTGTTCCCTCATTCAGATTTTTTTTAATGCTGCTACTCCTGCCTGGCACAGGCTCAGCACAGGAGCAGGTGCCAGCAGGAGAAGAGTTTTCCATGTTTTCCTGGTTGGTACCTCTGGTGCAGGTGCCTCATTATGGATGGGCTCAGGTAGAAGGAATTCTACTTGGGGTTCTCTAAAAAAATCAGGAGCTGTCCCAGGGATTTCCGCTGAACCATGGAAGGGTTAACAGAATTCCCTGCTCAATGCTGTCCTATTGCATCCTGACACTGTGGAAAGTAGGTGGATAATTCCTTGTTCGCTTTTCAGGAAACCCCTGTGGTGGACAGCCCTCATTAATTGTTGCTGGGAAACTGCTTTGACGTCACTGGAGCAGTTCCCTGCTCTTTGGATGAATACAGGAATAGCTCGTGATGAGGAAGTGGGAAGTGGTGTGAAATGGAGCAGGGAGCTCTGACAGGGGATTCTCAGCCTGGATTTCTTTCCTCTCTCCTGTAGTTCTGCCCAGGAACCCTCAGGAACTGTCCACAAACCTTCAGTGCTGCATTGGGAGCAGCATTTCCCTCTCCAGGAAGCCCTTCGTTCTCCAGGGCTGTGCCACTGGTGATCATTCACTTTTTAACAGCTTTGGGGTTCTTTTGGTGTTGGTTTTGGGTTTTTTCCTCCCCCACATTTTGGAAAGGAGGGGTGAGAAGGTCGTTGCCTAAAGCAGCTCCCAGAAATCAAAGGAAAAGAGAGCAGCAGGGTCTCTGGTTCCTTTCTTTCTAACATCAAATCATTAATGTCCCTTTTCCTACCTGAGGGGAGAGCAGGGCTGAGAGTGGCCCTTGATGCTGGGAGCTCCAGGTTTGAACAACTTGGAATTAAAATGGTTTAATCCCACTTATCCTTAGGGAAATGTTCCTTAGGACTTTAAATCCTGGGGTGTTTGTGCAGTTGGTTCCTTTCTCCCAGTGTTAACCTGCCAGTGTCTGGGAGATGTGGCACAGGATAACTGCAGCAGGAATTCTGTGTTTCCTTTTCCACACATGGAAATTAGATTTAAGCAAAGTTTTCCCACCCAGGTCAGAGTATTTAAGAGATTTTTATAACCAGAAGCACTGGAGAACAGCTGGGGCTGTGGCTCAGGTGTGCCCAGGTGAGACATGAGAAAGCTCAAAAGGGGAGGAAAGTGAAAGAAAGGATCTGAATATGGAATCATGGAATGGTTTGGGTGGGAAGAGTCCTTAAAGTTCATCTTGTTCCACCTCCTTGCTATGGAGGGACACCACCCACTAAACCAGGCTGCTCTGACCTGGCCTTGAACACTTTCAGGGATCCAGGGGCAGCCACAGCTTCTCTGGGCACCCTGTGCCAGGGCCTCCCCACCCTCACAGGGAGGAATTTCTTCCTAAAATAAGAAATATCAATGTTTATAAAACTTTTATCCACCTTTATGCAATTCCTGGGTATCACATGCAAATTATTTTGGTAGGCCTGGTCACACTCCTGGAGTAGAGTGAGAACAAGTTGACAGCTCTCCTGAGTTTAGTCCTTGCCTTGATGGAGGGAGGTAACAAAATGTCAGAGTATTTTATTCCCCCTGAAATGTTGTTGTGCTTTGAGATGTTTTTCACAAGGAAACCTCCTGATTCTCCAGAATTCCCTTTGACTCACCTGCATTTCCTGTCTCCTTGTTCATATAAGGTTATTTCTCCCCTTTTCACCTGGAGTCGAACCCTTCCATCTGCATCATAATTTCAGAATTTGATGTCATGTGGGGGTGGAGATTAGGATTTAAAGCAATGACTAAGCACGGGCACTGTGCAGGCAGAGACGTCCGGCCTCCTGTGGGGAATCTTGCTGAGTTTTGTAGGAGCTGGAAGGGAGGGAGGAATTCAATCCCTCTCCAACTGATAATAAGGAATAGGGAGAGAATTCAGAAGAGGAGGCTTTGGAGTTTGAGTGTTGCTGGTTTTGGGGTTTCTCACTGAACCAGGTGCTTGTCCCAGTGGGAGCTGTTACCTGACTGGGAGCAGGAGGGAAGGGGAGCGAGCTCCAAAGGTGCTTTACCTGTCGGAGTTCTGGCCGAGCCTGCAGACTCTCCCTGGGGTGCTGGTGCAGCGATGTTTTGCCTGAGTGGAGCTCAGGATGGAGCTGTTTCAGGAGCTTTTATCATATTAACACATCCTTCCATCCCTCTTGTTGCACCCAGCAGCTGCCCCTGTCTGCCGGGATTGTCCCAGCTGCTCTTCCCTGGATGAGGAGGAGCCACTGGGACAATCCCTGGGCAGGGAGAGGACCCGGCAGAGCCCGAGGGGCTTCGTGCCTGGAACGGCAGCCCCCTCCCCACCCCACCGCCTCCACTTTTCCCTGTGCGGAGCCTTTTCCGCAGCCTCTGCCGCGCTGGGGAGGGGGGACCTGAGTCACCCCCGGCCCGTTGCTCCTGGCGACAGGCCCCGGTTGCCATGGAGCTCAGCTCCCCGTTGGCTGCCGGGCCGCCAATGAGCGAATTGCTCGCCAGAGCATCACCGGTACCCAGCGGGAGGGCGGTGATGGGTGCTGGGTGCTGCTGCCCCCAGACAGGGCAGAGGGGAACGCTGGGGGAATCGTGGCATGATTTGGGCTGGGAGGGCTCATAAAGGCGCTTGTGTGGCAGCTCTGCCAGGGACACGGCCCTGTTGAATGGCCCATGGAGCCAGTCTGGGACAGCCAAAGCAGAGCTGGTTAATAACGAAGGGAAATGGAGGGAAGGGAGGCAGGAGCCTTGTCTTGGAAGCCAGGTGGGAATGCTGAAGCACTGGCACTGGTTCCTGTGGCCATGGCTTGGGCAGGTGCTGGGAAGGTGAAGCCCACCTGGAATCCCAGAATGTCCTCATTTGCAAGGCGCCCCAAGGATCACTGAGTCCAACTCCCAACCCTGCACAAGATATCCCAGCAATCCCACTCTGCTCCTGAGAGTGTTGCCCGAACATTCCTGGAGCTCTGGCAGCTTTGGGGCTGTGCCCATTCCCTGGGGAGCCTGGTCAGTGCCCCACCGCCCTCTGGAGGAAAACATTTTCCTGATATCCAACCTAAACCTCCCCTGACACAGCTCTAGCCATTCCCTCGAGTCCTGGGTCGCCAGAGAACAGAGACTGGTGCTCATGAGGAAGCTGCAGGTTGGGATGAACAATCCAAGTGTCCACAGCTGCTCCTTCCAGATCCTTCTCTATCTCCATGTCCTTCTTTTGGATGCCCCCCATAGCTTTAGATCCTCTTATACTGTGGCACCCAAAACTGCCCCCACAGGACTGGAGGTGAGGCTGTCCCAGAGCAGGACAATGCCCTCCTTCACCTCCTGTTTCCTTAGCCCTGAAACCTGAGAGGGAGAGGCTGAGGCACCTCACATCCCTCCATGCCCACCTCACATCCCTCCATGCCCACCTCACATCCCTCCATCCTGCTGCAGCACCGGAGTCGTGTGTGGGCAGCTGCACCCAGCAGCCATATGTCTCCTTTGCACCCTCATTTAGCTCAGGAGCAGGTCTGTTCCCTGAGAAACAAGGCCAGGAAGAGAGTTTATTTAGCAGGAGCTTCCTGCCTTTTCCAGATCTGCTGCCAGATCCATCTGAACTGGAAATGCAGAACTTTCTTGCTTTTATTCCCTGCCCAACCAGGAGCTGCTGCTGCATTCCCGGGGCTCAGCAGCTGCAAACTGCGGGTGGCAAGAAGGCAGCAGAGGTGGAATTCCATGTTCCTTTCTGGAGTGAGGAGGAGGATTTAAATGTGTCCCGACTCCCTGGCCCTTGGCCAGCATTCCCAGTATGCCCAGTCACTGCTGTCACTGGCCCAGTTGCTTTGCCAATCCCCATCCCCAAACCAAAACAGCAACAACACCTCCCCCACCTCCTCCCTTCCACCTTCTCCCACCTTTGCTCTATCCTCTTTCCTGACACAGATTTGGTGTAATTCTTTCTCTCTCCCGAGGCCCAGCTCAGTCCCACCCGCCCCTGAGTCCTCTGAACTTCCACACTCTCCACAAGTCCCGTCTGTCACCGTCACTCGTGTCTGCCACCCCCTCGCTGCATCCCACGGCTGCCCGAGGGAGCGGGGCTGATTCATTCATCCCGCAAGGAATCCTCCTCTGGAAAGCAGCAGTGCACAGATCTTCCCCGGATTCTCCGTGCAGGGAAATGTCCTGGAGGCTGCCTGGTGGGGAAGGAAGCTGTAACAGGAGGGGGCAGCTGATAAATGTCAGTTCTGTGGTGCTCTGAGTTGTCTTTTCTGGGAAATCTGATCATATTCCCCGTGTGATGCTGAAGTTACATGGCAGCATGTCGGGAAAAGATCCTGTTATCCTTCTTAAATTTGGCTGAGGTGTTTGGCTTGGGGGGGAAAAGCTTGTTGGAGGGTGGGTGGTGCAAAGCTGTACAAAACCTGCTCCTTTATTTGAGTGTCATGTGTGCAGTTCCGGTGCTGCCTCCTCCCTCCCTTCCCCAAATCTGCTCCAGATCCTCTTGGAATGTTTAAGCCCCCAGCTTGGGCATGAGGTTGGAGCAGTTTCCTACAGTGTGGAGTGTTTTGGGGTGAGGGGAGGCAGAGTTTACCACCTTCACACCCTGCACAATCCTCCCACGAATGAGGCGCATCAGGCACAGTGTTCCCTTTTCCCTTCCTGACCTAAATCCTGGAGCAGCGTGGGATTCCCTCGTGTGGGGCTCGTCACCCTGTGCAGCATCCCTGGGAACAGCACTGCTGGATCTCAGCCCACTGGGGTGAGGACAGCCCCCTGCAGCTGGAGGATGGATGCTTTTTCCCATGAATTTTCTGGGATATTTCCCACCCACTCAAGGTGCTGCTTAGCCTTGAGTTCAGTAGCTTTTCCCTTTCCTGGTTGTCCCATTTGTGGCTCTGGACTGGCAGCAGCCTCACTCATGGCCAGCCTTGAGCAGGTGGTGATGGAATACAGGAAGCTGAGGTGGCCAAGCTGCCTCCCTGTGTCAGTTCTGTGCCATTGTCCCACTGGATCTGGCATTTTCCAGCCACCCCTGGCACCTGCCCTCCATGTCTTAACAAATTCGTTAAATCCCCCGTAAGAATCCATGGAATGGAGGGAGTTCACTGCATTCTCCTGCTTTCTGTGTCTGGAACCAATTCCAGTAACTTCATAAATGTCAAATACACATTTTGTGTTCAGCAGCTCCACAAATTAAAGGGGAATAGTCCAGGATTATAAGCTGTTTCTGTGCAGAGTCAGGAGTCAATAAATCTCCACAAATTTTGACTCTGTTTCAGCCACATTCTGCCAAAGGAATAGAAAATGAGATGTTGAACATGTGTTTTCTGGTACGAGGTGTTTTGTTTGAGCCTCGCTCTGATTTAGGCTCCCCTTTTTGAAAATTTGTCTCTCCAAAGGCATTTCCTGGTACCACATCCCTCCACAACCACGTGGAGCTGGTTTAGTCCTTGCTCAGACTCTGAGACCTGCTCTGAGCAACTGGAATCATAAAATCATGGAATGGTTTGGGTTGGGAGGGACCTTAAAGCTCATCCAGTTCCACCCCTGCCATGGGCAGGGACACCTTCCAATAGCCCAGGGTTCTCCAAGCCCTGTCCAGCCTGGCCTGGGACACTTCCAGGGATCCAGGGAGCCACAGCTTCCTCACAGGGAGGAATTCCTTCCCAATATCCCACCTATCCTGCCCTCTCTGGCAGTGGGAAGCCATTCCTGGCACTCCAGTTCCTGATGAGCTGTAGGGGCAGGGCTGATGTTTTCATTCAAGGGAATCAGTTTGGAATTAATACTTAATTTGATGAGCAGGCCCTGGCTGAGGTACTCAGCACAGCAAATCACAGGCACTGCGCTGTCCAGGCTCCACTCTAATCCAGAGGTGCTTCCAGGGGCTCCATGGGCTGCCTATTTCTTGCTAATCAAAGAGAAGCAATTAAATGCAACTTTATCAGGAATTTTTGTCTTAATGTGTAATTTGAGTCCCACTTGTCATGAAGTATCTGATCAGAAGGAGATATTAGAGTTACCTTATCTCTCAGAGCATGTTTTTAGTACAAGGCTATTTTCTCACTGAAGATTTGACTGATTACAAAAAGAACTGGGCTGGGATTTGGGGAAATGCAGATTTTTGGTGGTGGTTTGCCCTGGGGCAGAGCACAGCTCTGGCTGTTGGAATTTATTTCACCTGTGTGATATTTGCCAGTTTAGAGCTGCCCTCAGTCTTTTCTCTCTCCATCACTCACGTGCCTCAGGACCTCTGTTCTACCTCAGGGACCTTGTCCAGCCCTGGTGGCTCCAAAATCCTGGTGAGAGCCACGGAGCTCCTGCCAGGTGGGCTCAAACTGGGGCTGCACCCAGGGCTTGAGTGGCTGGGCTTGATGTGAGTGCTTGGTTTGGGATCTGTGCATGAGGTGGGTTCCAAGGAAGTTCCAACCTGCGTGTGCAAGAATTTGTGTCCAGAGAGAAGCTCTGTGCACCCCCTGAGCTGTGGTGTCCCTTGTCCTGCAGGTGCCCGTCGCTGAGTCGGAGGGCTCTGAAGATGTCCAACAGCAACACGGCACAGGAGTCCCTGGAAATTATGAAGGAATCGGAAAAAAAGGTGGTTGAGGAATCTGTGAACAAAACCAAATACGTATCCAGGTCACCAAGCAAGGAGGAAGTGGAGAAGGATGGGGGGGAGGAGGTCAGTGTGCGCCAGGAATCTCAGGTGAGTGTGGGCAGGGAGAGCTGGGCCCTCGCCTGCTGGTTCCCATCCCTTCCCAAAGGATCCAGAGCTTGTGCCCCCTTTTCCACAGGGACACCACGCTGTGCAGGCTGTTCCCTGCCTCTTCAGCCAAATCTGTCCTGGCCAGAGTGATTGAAATATTCCCTGAGCCTGGGAGTGGAATAACTGAAATATTCCCTGGGGGACACTCGTGCTCCATCCCCAGGTTCTGGTGCCAGGGCTGTCACCTCCCTCTTACTCCTTTCTTTGATCTAAGGATGAGTTAATGACTTCATGTCAAGTGAAGGCATCCAGGGAGAGCTTGGTTTCAGGAATGCTGCTTGACTATTGCTTCGCTTCAGTTAAAAATAGGACGGGAATGTTTTGGGATTTCATTTCAATAAATGAAGAAAACCTCTGTGCAAGCATCGTTTGCAGGTGCTGGGACTCATTCCTGCTGCTCTGCTCTCCTGCCACCTGTGCTTGTGGCTCCTGGTGGAGCTTGATGCAGTTCCCACTCTCAGCTGCCTGCTGGATGCTGCTGCCATTCCAGCTGTGGGCTGGCACATCTGCCAGATGTGCTCACAGCTGCACGGGCAGACCCGGAGCTGTGCAGGGAGAGCCTGGCTGGGCACTTTGGAATGGAGTGGGGGAGATTTCTGAGTTTGGTGGCTCCCCAGACAGGGAGAGTTCTGTCACGATCCCCTTTTGTGTCCCAGGAATGGCAGAAAACTTCCAGGTTAAGCTTTTTGCCTTCCCTTTTCTCTCTCCACAGAAGCGAACGTCGGGTCACGGACACGCCAGGAAAAGAGCCAAGGTAGGAGCTCTGCTGCCATCCCAATTTCCCATCCAGATGTTCTGAATCCTGATCCCAGCCTTAGGATGCTGCCCCCGAGCCTTTCCTGTCTCTGGAAGCCACATGCAGCAGATGATGGTTCAGGACAGGGATTTCCACATGCTGGAGCTCCAGCGCTCCTTTCTAACAGGATAAAGGCTGGAACTGCTTTCTCTGGAAGTCAGGGAGGGCAGGGAATTTCCCTTCTAAAATTTGATTCAAAGGCTGAAGGAATAAAATAAGTCATTGTTCAGGGATTCCAAGTCATTGCATATCTCTGTACGTTGAGGAGAATATCCCTCTTTTTGAGCAGTTTAATTGGGAATGGCTGCACAAGTGCCTTGGGAGTGCAGCTGCAGGAATTCAAGTGAGTTTTTTGAGCTTTTTCAGTGAGTTTTGGCTGAGGTGTTGTAACCACTCCCTTTTTTTTACCTTTTCCAGTCTAACTCAAAGCTTAAACTGGTCAGGAGTTTGGCTGTGTGTGAGGAATCCTCGGGCCCCTTCGTGGATGGGCTGCTGGAGTCTCAGGTAAGCCCAGAATGAGACAAATTTAGGAGTGTGGAAGCCCAGGAAATCCATGTTTCGCTAGAAATGATCCATGTCTTTCTCTCCTGTGCCTTGGGGAGCCAAGAAATTCCCACAAGAGCTGGCTGAGACCTTCCCGTGGTGCTTTTCTCAGCCACCGGCATCTCCAGCCATGGCTTTGGCTCAGGGGATGTCTGAGGGACTCCATCCTCTTTTGTTTCACCCCAGGACATCATCCAGCTGCACGTGAGCTGCCCCTCTGACAAGGAAGAGGAGAAATCCACCAAAGATGGGGTGGAGAAAGAAGAAAAAGACAAGAATAAGGAAAAAACACCAAGGAAGATGCTCTCTCGAGGTCAGGTGCTGGTTTAAACTGGGCAGGTGCTGCTCACCTGCTCTGGGAATTCTCTGGAAGTGGGGCAGGTGTTGGACAGGTGCTTGGTTGTCTCTGCTGCTCTGCAGGACTGTGGGGTTGACAACATCAGGGAATCCTGGAATGGTTTGGGTGGGAAGTGAGCTTGAAGCTCATCCAGTCCACCCCTGCCATGGGCAGGGACACCTTCTACAATCCCAGGATGCTCCAAGCCCCCTCCAGCCTGGCCTTGGGCACTTCCAGGGATCCAGGGGCAGCCACAGCTTCTCTGGGCACCCTGTGCCAGGGCCTCCCCACCCTCACAGGGAGGAATTCCTTCCCAATCTCCCATCCAGCCCTGCCCTGTGGCAGTAGGGAGCTGTTCCCTGTGTCCTGTCCCTCCATCCCTTGTCCCAAGTCCCTCTCCAGCTCTCCTGGAGCTCCATTAGGCACTGGAGGGGGCACCAGGGTCTCCCTTGATTCTTCTCTTCTTCAGGTTGACCCACACTCATCCCATCCCACCCCCAGCCTGGGCAGGGACACCTTCCACTAGCTCAGGTTGCTCCAAGCCCTGTCCAGCCTGGCCTTGGGCACTGCCAGGGATGGATCCACATCCTTCCAGATCAGAGCATGGAGAAAGGGAGGGGTTCTCCAGGCTGACACATTCCCAACAGACTTTTTAAAGCCATAAAAATGGCTAAAAGAGACACATTGGATCTGGAGAATAAATTCCACCAAAATCTCTGTAGGGAAGCTCGGCACTGGTGCTGATTTGGTTTCACTGGTTTATTCTGCAATTATTTTTAAATTCAAAAGGGTGTGGGAAGAGGGGAAACACAGGCCAGCAGGGAATCCCAGAGCCTGCACGACTGAAGGATTGTAAGGCAGAAATTGCTTGGACCAAAGTGTGGAATATACACCTGCAAGGACGTGCTGTGACAGCAAGGAGTGTCCGGAGTGTGGTGCCAGGGGTGGTTTTGGGACCAAGGTGTCCTTCCACAAACCCAGCCCATCTCCCTCTCTGTGACATCTTCCTAACAGGGTCTTGGAGTGCCTTGTGTGCTGGTCCTGCTGTCCTGGGAAAAGGGGCCTTAATCCCTGGGTTAGACTGGGAAATGTGGGAACATCATCCTCAGGCACACAGAGACACAACCCTTCTCCTCCTTCTCCTCCTTCTCCTCCTTCTCCTCCTTCTCCTCCTTCTCCTCCTTCTCCTCCTTCTCCTCCTTCTCCTCCTTCTCCTCCTTCTCCTCCTTCTCCTCCTTCTCCTCCTTCTCCTCCTTCTCCTCCTTCTCCTCCTTCTCCTCCTTCTCCTCCTTCTCCTCCTTCTCCTCCTTCTCCTCCTTCTCCTCCTTCTCCTCCTTCTCCTCCTTCTCCTCCTTCTCCTCCTTCTCCTCCTTCTCCTCCTTCTCCTCCTTCTCCTCCTTCTCCTCCTTCTCCTCCTTCTCCTCCTTCTCCTCCTTCTCCTCCTTCTCCTCCTTCTCCTCCTTCTCCTCCTTCTCCTCCTTCTCCTCCTTCTCCTCCTTCTCCTCCTTCTCCTCCTTCTCCTCCTTCTCCTCCTTCTCCTCCTTCTCCTCCTTCTCCTCCTTCTCCTCCTTCTCCTCCTTCTCCTCCTTCTCCTCCTTCTCCTCCTTCTCCTCCTTCTCCTCCTTCTCCTCCTTCTCCTCCCTTCCCCCTATGCTGTCTCAGTGGTTTGTTAATTTGTTCTGCTGCCATTGTTGTTTTTTTCAGATTCCAGCCAGGAATATACAGACTCCACTGGAATAGATTTGCATGAATTTTTAGTAAATACACTGAAAAAAAACCCACGGTAGGTCCTGGTCAGTAAAACAACTCCCTGAGGGGTCTGTGTGTCCCTGTCTGTGGGTATTCCTGTATCCTAGGGGGTTACAGTACCTGCAAGTGTTCTTGGTTTTTCCTCTTTGGAATTCCAAGAGTTACCAGAGCTGGGACAATGTAGAAACTAAAAGTACGAGTGTAATTTCATATCCTGTTTCATTCCAAACATGGAATTGTCTGTGATGGAGAGAGAGAAGGACAAATAATCTGTTTGAATGCAAAGAAATAATTCTGATTGCTTTAAACCCTTTTCTATAAATGGTTGTCAAGTGTCAGCCTGTGAAGGAGCTGCTGCAGGAATAATCAGTGGGATTGAGGGACTGGCTGGCAAAGGAATAGCAAAATTGGAGTCTCCAGCAGTGGAGCTTCCAGCAGAGCAGGGATTCAGGCTTTCCAGAGCCAAGCACTGTTAGCAAAACAACCTTAAAGTGGAAAAAATCTGGTGTTCAGTTTAGTATATTTGAAAAGCAGGGAGTTTTTAGCCCATTCTGTTAACACCTGAAATCAGGTGTCACCTGCTCCTGTGGCTTTTTCTGCTGCAGGAGAGCTGGGAGCAGGAAAGGCTGTTCCACTGTCCCTAAAGTGACCTTTTTCTTTCTTTTTTCCTGACAGGGACAGAATGATGCTGCTCAAGTTGGAACAGGAGATTCTGGAGTTCATTAGCGATAACAAGTAAGTGATCATCGAGTTTGTGTCGAGCAAAAGAGATTTGTGTGGAGAGTTTAGGAATTTGGGCTCCCAGGGGAGAAGGGACACGCTGGTGAGGAGGCTGTTCTCTTGTACATCCTGATGTGACTGACTGCTTGGAGCTCCAACCCTGTGTCCCTCTTGCCAGCAATCAGTTCAAGAAGTTCCCCCAGATGACCTCGTACCACCGGATGCTGCTCCACCGGGTCGCGGCCTATTTCGGGATGGATCACAACGTGGATCAGACTGGGAAGGCTGTGATCATCAACAAGACCAGTAACACACGAATGTGAGTTCCCTTCCCTTCCCTGAACTTCCCTTCCCTTCCCTGAACTTCCCTTCCCTTCCCTGAACTTCCCTTCCCTTCCCTGAACTTCCCTTCCCTGAACTTCCCTTCCCTGAACTTCCCTTCCCTGGACTTCCCTTTCCTTCCCTGAACTTTCCTTTCCTTCCCTGAAGTTCCTTTTCCTTCCTTGAGCTTCACTTCCCTTTCCTTCCCTGAACTTCCCTTTCCTTCCCTGAACTTCCCTTTCCTTCCCTGAACTTCCCTTTCCTTCCCTGAACTTCCCTTTCCTTCCCTGAACTTCCCTTTCCTTCCCTGAACTTCCCTTTCCTTCCCTGAACTTCCCTTTCCTTCCCTGAACTTCCCTTTCCTTCCCTGAACTTCCCTTCCCTAAACTTCCCTTCCCTGAACGTTCTCTGTTTCCCTTCCCCTTTTTCCCTTCCCCACAGCCCAGGAATGCTCTGTAGCAGGATGGGTTCCACACCACATTTTATTTTTTGCCTCATAAGAAGGGGAGATCCCTCTCTAGAAATATCAGGAACATGGAATGAAGGAACAGGGAGGAACCTTTTCCTTCCAGCCCTTGCTGCCTCTCCATAGTTCCTGGAGAAGGGACAGGAGCTCTTGTTGCTTTTAGCCAGAGCTGAAATTTCACACGACAAATATCCTGGCGTGTTCTGGGCCTGTTTTTTCCCTCCTAACAAGGGCTGGTTTTCTTGCAGCCCTGAGCAGAGGTTCTCTGAGCACATCAAGGATGAGAAGAACGCAGAGTTCCCGCAGAGGTTTATCCTAAAACGGGATGACACCAGCATGGATCGGGATGATAACCAGGTGAGGGGTGGCAGTGGGGCCTTTGGGAAGATGTGACTGGTCACAAGACAAGAACAGCTCTAAAATTCTCTTGTATTTCCTGAGGTAACACTTAATAGGAGCTCCCACCCCACCCAAGCAGCAGCATCTGAATTTCATGAAAACTTTTCTAAATATTATGGAAATGGATGAAGAATTTGTATGGGTTCTATGGGTGTATGTGTCCATATCCTGAAATCAGCTGGGGGCTAGGCCAGGTTTTAACGTGGAGGCTTTTTCCAAGGTTTCTTTGGGAATATCCCTCAGCTGAGTGTTGCTTTCCCTTCTTTTTTCCTGGGGCTTGCAGCAAGTCATGCCCTTTCCCAGGGATCTCGGGGTCTTGTAGCTCCCATCTTCATAGAAACATGGAATGATTTGGGTTGGAAAAGACCTTAAAGCTCATCCATTTCCACCCTTCTGCCATGGGCAGGGACACCTTCCACTATCCCAGGTTGCTCCAAGTCCCCTCCAGCCTGGCCTTGGACACTGCCAGGGCTGGGGCAGCCACTGTTTCTCTGAGCAGCCTGTGCCAGGGCCTGCCCACCCTCACAGGGGGGAATTTGTTCCCATCTGAGCCCCGAGTCACATCACCCCAGCTCTGTGCTGTGGGACCTGTTCCTGAATTCCAGTCGGGGTGAGAAGCTGGTCATTGCAGTCAGTGCCAGTTTTTGGTTTCCCCGTGTGGCGCTCAGGGGTGCGGCTGCGCTCGCAGCACGGAATCCACGTGGGAGCAGGAGCATCAGCACATGCTCCAAAGGGTGACCTTTAGCTCTTCCCCCTGGGACCAGACTGCTGGTGATATTCCTGATCAGCTCAGGCAGGCTGGTTGTGCTTGGGAATGTCCAGGGATGAACATCCTGGCACCTCTGGGAGGTTCGTCCCTGGACTCAGATGTCCCAAAGGTAGGTCCAAAGGCAGAGGTTGGATCACTGCATCCAGACACCACATAAAGCACATCCTACCCAAAATTCCCAGCAGCTGACTGCTCCCGCTGGCAACTGCTGACCCCTGAGCTGTGTTTGTCCCTTCAGATCAGACTCCCCTTGCAGGATGGGAGAAGGAGCAAATCCATAGAAGAGCGAGAGGAGGAATATCAGCGGGTCAGGGAGCGGATATTTGCACGAGAGGTAAGTTTGGATCACTCACCTGCCAGGATCCTCCTGGAGCTTTGGGGCAGAAGGTGGCCTTGAATAAGCCAAGAGGTCAGATATTGTCGTTGCCTTTTCTACCAATTTCCCAGAATTTTGGTGATGTGCCATTGGATGAATTACAGCTGGATGAATTCCAGCTCCCAGCAAAGATGTCTGAGATACTGGGGTGGAGGAGCCACACCTGCAGCCTCCAATCTGCTCCTTCCCTAAAATTTAGGGAGGAATGGATGCAGTCCTGTTCCTTGTTACCCAGACTATTCTAAGTTTATGCAGTGGCATTTTTGGGGTGATCAGAAAACCATTTCCTGTCCCAAAGGGAGCAGCAGCTGCATTTCCCAGTTTCCTTCCAATGTTGCAGCTTCCACCTCCTGACCCAGCAGTGCAGGGCTCTGCCTTTCCAGGAGGAATTTAGGCCTTCCTAGGAGGAATTTGGGCATTCCCAGGAATTGGCAGGGTGTTTATTGTCTGTCTCATGAAGTGTCCAGCTTGGTTATGGCTTCCTGAAATCCCTGCTCTGTGCTTGGAGCAGTGTCCCACATTCACATCTGGCTCAGAGGCTGCTCCAGAGGCACTCCCAGCTGGAATCAGCTCCAAATGCTGCATTTAGGACATAAAACCCCTTTGTATGCCTGGCCTTGACTGTCACATGGACAAAGATGCCATCAAAGCTGCCTCAGTGGAGGAGGGAGCTGAGGACTCAGATTTGAGAGATCTCAGGGTCACAGGGATCAGAAAAGGGCTTGGATGGAGATCCACAGGGAGCTGGTGTGCAGGAGGCTCAACACCACACCTCAACACACTCTGTGTCCCAGCCCCACCCTTTGGAATCACCTGGATTTGTTCTTTCAGAGTTACTAAGTCTCCCTTTTCTTTCCAGTCTGGCCAGAACGGATACCTCACGGACAGCAGGTGAGTGCTGCCCTGCAGCCCCTGGAGGTGTCTCCAAAGCCCTGCATGACTCTAAAATGGTTCTTTTTCCTCATCTGACTCTCCACAGAATGCTTTGCTTGTAGCTCTCACAGACAGAGGCAGATTTGTAGAGATCTCTGTGTGATTTATTTTGTGCCACGTCCTGCTGAATCCCCCTGTGCACAGCTGCTCCTGGAGTTACTGAAGGTGTTTTCTTTGCAACATCAATTTCAAGTCCTTTTTTGGCTGATTCATCAATTAAAAAAGAGGGTGGGAATGGCAGAGAGGAATTCCAGCAGTTTTCAAACCATTCCACCTCTTGTTCCCCAGAAGGATAGGAAATCCCTGCCCTTACAGTGCCAGAATAGCATTAGGATCAGGCAGGGTTGTCCCTAATCCCTGATTATCAAGGCTGGATGGCTTAATGGTGACACTGAAGTGTCTCAGGCTCCATCTCAGCCACAGGAGCTGCTGAGGGCACTGGGAACATGTTTGAGCAGCATTTTCTTGTTAAGCAGTTTTCCCATGGATGAAAGGGCTGGAGTGAGGCTGATGAGTCACCGGGCACAGCCCCGGCTGCTGAGGTGTGGGGACAAAGAATGGGATGAAAAGGGACAAAACCTCATCCCTGCTGTGCTCTGCTCTCCCAGCCAAAGCTCTGGAGATGGGGCAGCTCTGTGTGGGACAGGACAGGAGGATCTGAGCCAGGCAGGAGCAGCTTTGTCCCTCTCCTTGGGCTGTCACCTGCCTCACCAGGCTGTCCTGGAAAATGCAGTGTCCTCAGCACCGTCACAGGGGCTGTGTCCTGGGGTCTGCCTGTGTCAGGGCTCTTCAGGACAGCAAGGACAGTTCTCATATCTGTGGGGTTGGAGAAGAACTCCCCCAGAATGGAGCACAAACCCCATTGCTGCTGCAGCTTTGGGAGCTGAGCTGCAGCCAGGGCTATGCCAAGAGCTTCCCTGCCTGTGGTGCCCAGGCCCTGAGGAGCTCGGATAATCTGCTCTGGGGTTCCAATGGGTGAGAGAGGGGAGAGGGCCTCAGGAGGATTTTGAGCTCTCTAGGGATGTAACCATTGTGCTGCTTTTCCAAGAGATGCATTTTTGGCCCCCACATGCTGCCAGCAGCCCAGGACATCACCTCAGGAGTTCCTTCCAAGCTTCTTTTTTCTGAGCCAGCTCAGCAGCTCTTTCTCACCATCCCTCCCCAGGGAAAGCCCAGGAACCCGTTCCCAGCCCTCTGCCCTTAACTGGGCTGATAAACCAGGCTCACTGCTTGGGGTGATGTGCTGATATCCCATAAAGTCCTGCTGTGGCCAGAGCTGGCCTAGGCTAAGGGAGGCACAGCTCTGGGAGCAGCAATATTCCAGAATCCTGGGATGGTCTGGATTGCAAGGGACTTTAAAACTCATCCCTTTCCACCTCCCTGCCTTGGCCAGAGACACCTTCCCCTATCCCAGATTGCTCCAAGCCCTGTCTGACCTGGCCTTGGACGCTTCCAGGGATGGGACAGCCACAACTTTGGGTGACCAGGCCCAGCTGGGCAGAAATCCTCAGCAGGGTTGGAGTGGGACATGGTCTCCAAGATCTCCATCAGCCTTGTCTCCAGGCCTTTAAAAGCTCCCTGTTCAGAGACAGGGAGATCTTCAGCACAGGACCTTTTTCTGACCCTGCTGGGGTCTCTCCCAGGCTGAGGAAGGGGCCAGGAGCTGGCTGTCACCACAGTGGCTGGGTCAGCACAAAAAGCTGTGCCTTGGCGAGATTTTTGCTGTCAGACTCTCCCCACACCCCACAAAAAGGTCCCAAACCCAGATGCTGACTGTCCCCAGCACCCTGCCCTGGGTGCAGCACCAGCAGCTCTGCCGCTGTCCCTTCACCAGAGCCCAGTTTGACTCCTCTGCTCACTGCAGGGGCAACCGGGACGGGCTGAGCCGGGCCTCGGGCAGCCGCCAGAGCAGCACCGAGAGCGAGATCAAATCCCTGGAGCCGCGGCCCTGGAGCAGCACGGACTCGGACGGCTCCATCCGCAACCTGCGGCCACCTGTCACCAAAGCCAGCAGCTTCAGTGGCATCTCCATCCTGACCCGGGGGGACAGCGTCGGCAGCAGCAAGGGCAGCACGGCCAGCAGGACGTCACGGGCAGGTACCGTGCTGCTTCCAGGCAGGTGCCAAAGGACACCTGAATGGGAGATTTGGGGCTGAGGAACTTGGAGCTCTTTCCCTGCCAAAGGACACCTGGCAGAGAGTTTTGGGGCTGAGGAACTTGGAGCTCTTTCCCTGCCAAAGGACACCTGGCAGAGAGTTTTGGGGCTGAGGAACTTGGAGCTCTTTCCCTGCCAAAGGACACCTGGCAGAGAGTTTTGGGGCTGAGGAACTTGGAGCTCTTTCCCTGCCAAAGGACACCTGGCAGATGGTTTTGGGTTGGGGAGATGGGGCTTGTGTTGCTCTGGTTAAAACAGGACATGGGTGGCACCAGAATTTTGGTACCCTGGCGTGGATGTGCCATCTGGTTGTGTCACCTGGTTCATCACCCACTTCTTCAGAACTCACCATCACCTCTCCCATCCCTTCAGCAGAGTTACCTGAGGCCAGAGTTTGCTCCCAGCCCCTGCAGCTCAAACTCCCAGTTTGCGTTGTTTTCTGTCTTCTCAAGTTGCGTTGCCATTCCCTTCTGCTCCCAAAATCTCTCCCCACCCTGAGGATCCTCAGGATGAACCTCCTGGCATTGTCTTGCTTTCCAAGGAGGAGGGCCAGGAAAAGTGTCACCCATTAGTCTCATCAGACATGCAGTTACCTTGTCAAGGACTCTCTAATTGGGATCTGCCCGTGATGTTCTCTCAGTGATTCACTGAAGTGCTGGGAGTAAACAGCAGGCTTGAGCTCCAGAGCTGCTGGCAGCCAAGGGGAATTTGGCTGAAGCCAAAGGGAATTGGGATCCTTAATGTCTCTGCTGCTTCAGCTCAGTCCTCCTTGTCCATCCAGGTACCACAAAGCACGGGACGTTCCCCTGGGGTGTCACAGGGATCCTGTTCTGGCAGCAGCTTCCCAAGGGATGTGTGTGCTGGGTGGGCACATCCTCCCCTCAGTCAGGGAGGAGCAGAATCCTTTCTTTTCAGCCTTGGCTGATACACCCAAAAGGTGTTTGTGGAGGAGGCAGCCCAGGTTTTGCTCCCATTTAATCACAGCTGAGGAGCTGTGGGGTAGCTGTGTGGTATCAGTGGGCAGAACCTGGTGTTTTCCCACTGGTCAGTCCCAAACCCTTGGGAACCGTCACTTTTGTGGGCAGGAGAGGCACATTGGTGTCTGTAGGCAGGAACAAGAAGCCTTTCAGGGCTGGATTCCAGCTGCCAGCCTGCCTTTGAAACCACACCTTCATCTCCCAGTTTAGAGGTGCCCACGGTGCCTCCTGGGATCCTGTTCCCATCCCCAGCCCTGTGCTCACTCTGGGAGTTGCAGCCACCTCCAGGATTGATTCATGGAGTGCTGGGAGCACTTGAAGATCTGTCCCAGCATGTGCTGAGCAGAGTGAGAGAGAAGCTGCTTTTTGGCTCTTCCTGTAATTTTCCCTCCAGGTCCCTCCTGGGATCAGAACAGTTGCTTTCCAGGCTTTATGTAATGGCAAGTGATTAGAAACATCTTGGGAGAAAGACAAAAAAAAAATGCAAAGGAATTATCACCTGAGGGGAAAAAACACCAAGCCCACCTTCTTCCATATCCTCATGTTTATTCCATGGGGGTGGAAGTGCTTAGGACTCAGGGGCTCTTTTCCCATCCAGCAGCTGGCAGTGGAATATTCCCTCCTTTGCAGTGTGTAGCTGCTGTCAGAGCTCCTCAGCAGAATCCCTGGAGATCAGCTGTGGAAATGTGGGAGATCAGAGGCAGAATTGGTTAAACAGCAGCTACTGGGCATTGAGCAATAGTTGCACAACCCTTTTATTTCTGGAAGTAAGACCGGAATACTGAGGAGACACTTCCCAGCTGGGTGCCAGCAGTGTGGATCGTGCTCCTTCCCAGCCTTTTCTGCCATGGGAAGGGATTGGCTGCCATCTCCCAGCCTTTTCCTGGCAGAAAAGGGGCTCTGTGAGCCTGTGGAATGGGATCCCCCCACTCCCCTCTGCTCTGGGCAGGTCATGACAGTGTTGGTGTCCAGGTGGGGCTGGGAGCAGCTCTCCAGCTCCTTCCCACAGACTCTCATGGCCCTGAGCTGGCGCAGATGTTTTTGGGATCCCTGGTGAAGAGCCTCCACCAGGCAGGTGCTGCTGTTGGCAGCCAGATTCCTCTTCTTTGTGTGAGGCAGAGGAGAAGATCCCAGGATCAGCTTTGGAGGGTCAGTGTGAGGTCCTGGCCAGGGAGAAGAGGGAGCTACAACCCAGGGAGCTACAACCCACTGGAGTGTCAGCACCTCGCTTTGCCGTGAGCGGAGACAAACTGTGCCTGTTGTCCCCACGGAAGCTCCAGCGGTGACAGGAATCCCCCTTGCCCTCCCCTCTTCTCCTGGATCCCAGCCCTCCATGCCTGTCTCTGTTCCAGGTTTGGTGCTAGGTGCCCCTGAGGCCTGCAGCCAGTCCCCATCCTCGCAGCCCAGCCGTGGCCTCCTGCCCTGCACGGCCCCGCAGCCGCCCCCGCAGCCGCCCC